CAGAATAATTAAAGTTGTGTTTGATAACTATTTCTATTTTTAATTTTTAATTTTTGAAAATTACTTCACTTTTGTCTTTCTTTATTTGGTTATATACTATTGAAAATCGCTTTCAAACCTAAGTCAATATTGAAAATTAAAAAGAAAAGGTTGCTTTCAAAACCTTGTTTTTGTTTTTCGAATTCGACTGAAAATTCAAATGTATACAAAGAAGGTATGAACATACTAAAGAAAAAAAAATGGTGAGAAAACAAGTATAATTTTTGAAAGTAAAAAAGTTGCCAAACAAGGTGTTTGAGATTTTTGTTTCTTAAATTTAACTATGACTTCAAATTGATCTTCAAAGAAATTGCGAGCAAATAAGCATAATTTTGTAAAAACAAAAAATAAAAAACGACATAGTTATCAATCACGTCTAGTGACGGTGCATTACTTTAATTTTATTTACCATCACAAAATAATATTTTTATTTATATGTCAATATTTCAAGGTCACATTATCAATTTTATTTTATAATTTGAGCTTATTTTTAATTTTCTCCTTATAATTTTACAAGTTTGAATTTCATATCTCTATGAGCTTAGTTTTCTGTCAATCTCTATAATTTTAAAAATTTCAATTTAGTCCATGTAATTTTGTTAAAATTCACAAATTGGCCCTATACTGTTATCTTAGCCATCCAAAAACTCACTTCTTTTTCCAATTTTATGGTCTCAACTTCACTCATTATCATGTAAATAGAAAACGGGCATGTTGTTACGTATGACCAAATTGAAACTTTTTAAAGCCACGATTTACCAAGTACAAATCTAGAAGAATTAAAATAAACATTTTAAAACTAAAATCCAGAAGAATTAAAGTAAACATTTTAAAACTAAGCATTAACCATTCGACCATATTTTAGTCAAATACTTCTTTTAATATATTTTAATCAATACTTTGTTCAACATAAATACATATAAACAGAAATACTAAATGAAAAGGAGTACATGTAATTCAACAGTACATGTAATTCAACCATATTCAACCAAGGAAGAAAGCCTCTTCCCACCTTAAATGAAAATTACACTTAAAAAGAGTAATTAGAAAATAAAGGATTCATGACCAAGTAATTAGAAATAAAGGATTCATATGCCGAATGGTCATAGCTCAATGGTTAAAGCATCTCGACTTCTTCTAAGAAGTTATAGGTTCCAATCTATGTATTTGTAAGGTGATACTTGTCTTAAAAAGTTATTCGGTTTCTTTACAACTAAATTCCTCTCTAATACAGCTTCTACGACATTCATCCTCAACTAATTCAAAAGTTTTCACCAGGTTTACCCAAAATTTACCACTATAAGAGCAATGGAAACACAATACACACACATATGCATGTATGTATATATATATGTGTGTGTGATTTTGATCTTCTCCTAAAAACAAAGGTTGGATACCAAAATCAACCAGCTAAATAAATAAATATTGACTTTTCTAGGACTGTGTTCCAATAATCCTTCATCAATTTGATCATACCAAAGACCTTGAATGTGGAATTACTTGTACAGTCCAATGTCCAGAGTCTTCCATCTTCACGAGAGTCCAAAACAACTCCCTCAAGATGTTGGATTAATCTTTAAATATTGGTTAGAATTTCAAAATGTTTTTAAAAGGTAGGTTGCAAATCTAAGGAACTGAAAGTAAATAGCCTAAATGTTTGTTAGACAAATAAAAGCTACAAATATTTTAGAAAACCCCTTCAAATTTCCCTTCAATTATTAAAGTTAAGAAGTGACAAATGCTATAATTTTCCTCCCATGTGCCCCACTTTGACTATAGATAATAATGAGAGAAATTTCCATCATCCAAACCCAGAATTGAACCAGAGAATGGAGTGCCTCCATCTCCAAGACTTTTAGAGTGAAACAGAAACTTCCTCTAAAACAGAACAGATTGAAATCAAAATTTTCAGAAACTCAGGCAGAAAAAAGCAGATTAAAAAGAGAAACAGAGAGATGGGAGTGTTTGGTTGTAGCAAAGATGGGTACCTGAATGATTCCAAGTTCAGCGAGCCTCTGCCATGGATTGGAATCTACATAGCTGCAGCCTCTTTGGTCTGCCTGTCAGCGATGGCCGCCGATCTTGTCCACGGCGTCCGCCACAAAAAATTCTGGTTCCCTTGCAAGTTCTTCACTCTTAACTCCACTTCCCTGACCCTGATAGCTGTGGCCATCAAACTTTCTGTGGATCTCAACACCTCCATGCCTGGCAGAGAGGATCAGCTTGCAAAGCTAAGTAGTGCTGTATTGATGTGCACCATCATGGGTAATTCTATGCCTTCTCTTGGATCTATGGAGAATCAAGAAATATTTACGAACATTATGGCTCTTGGGATTCTTGTTATTACCCTCATAGTAAACGTCTGTATTGAGTTGGGTACTGGAGTGATCTATGTATTTATGAAGGAGCATATTTCCATTGTATTCTTGATGCTGGTTTTGCTTGCCATCCAGAGTTTTTCTGCTTTGACTGTTCCATCTACTAAAAGCTACCTGGAAATGAAGTACAGAGTAAGACACCAATTAGCTTTTAAAGAGTGTGCAGATGCAAAAACAGGCCCAGCAGTAGTTGAACGACTCAGGGAGGGTCTGATGAAATATTGGATGATGGCTCATACCTGCAGCCCCCAGTTTGTGATTGGTCGATCCGCTACTTGTACTGCTTCTGGGGCTATCTGTCTTCTTACCGCTGCAATTTTAGCAGAGGCCATTGTTAGATCTTACTTGATGCAGAGATCATTTAAGTTCTGCAATGGCCAGTCTGATTATAAATGGTCGATCACTTTGATTCTCATAGTACAATGTGCTGCAGTGGGAGTTGGGACTGTTGCCCCAGCAATCAGATGGTTTGCGGCCATAAATTTCCGGTGTCCAAAGCTGGGAAAAGGGGGCTACAAGAAGGAATTCACATTAGAAAACTATTGGATCCGGTATCTGGTTGAAATGAAACAGTGCCCATTAAACATCGGAGTTGAAAACAGAAGTTGCAGAAAGTTTGCGCATAGTGCAAAAGACAAATTTCTGGACGCATGCATTATCCTACAAACAGCCATAGTGTTCATAAGCAAAGTGATTCGACTCGTGTCCATTTTCTTTGTCAGTGGAATCTTCTCATTCTGTGACTGCTTCAAAAGTTTGAAAAAAAAGTTGTGTTTTAAAGACGCCATTTCTATCAACAATTCAGGGTCAGAGGTAGATCATGATTCAAAGCTAGATCTCAGTCGTTTTGTTCTGTATCTTGAAGGTGAAGATGATCTAGTTCACCTCATGGTAGCCAACAATTGTTATGCCACAAATCAATGGATTCAGAAAGGGCAGAAGAAAAAGCCTAAGAATCTCATTGACCTGTTAGAGGGAATGATCATGACACGAGGTTTCAAGGGAGTGGCAGAGTTTGACAACCATCAAGTTCCATGTCTAGATTCCAAAGAGCCCCAAAATTGCTGGGCACTCCCAGTGGTGACATTAACAACCATAGCAATTTCTCTTCCAAACATAAGCCGGTGTTTAATCAAACAGTTGGTGAGCGCCGTAAACGAAGGCCTCCCATACATAAGACTTCTTGAAGATCACCTTGACACAAAAGGGGATTTCATAAACCTAAAGAAAGCAGCTGAAATCGTTTGGCTAGGAATTGATCTCCACCACAAATGGCTGGACGTAGACCTCCAAAAAATTTCACATCATAAAGAAAGTCCAAAGGAAATTCTTGAACAACTTTCAGATTGTGCAAAGAAAATCTACTCGGTGGAGAAGACGACGAATCAGCGTCTATGCTTGAAGTTAAGTCCTTCAAATTGGCCAATCAGGATACTGGCTGCGAATTGTATGTACAGAATAAGCGAATCAATGCTGCTAAAATATGAAAAGAAATATGGGTACAGAAATGAAGAATTGTTCGCAGAAACAACAACCATGATCTCCGCCATTATGGGAGCATGCCTCACGAATTTGGAGGACGTGATAGCCACAAAGTGTTCGAACAGTGTGATTGAAAAACGAGAGAGGAGTGTGAGAGAAGCAGCTTACATTCTTGGGAAAACAGGGAACATATTGAAACTCATTGAGAAAGCGACACTTCCTACTCTTGATCTGCATCAAATGGCGAGCATTGATGAATGGCGATTGGCTTACAAGCTGGAGAGCTAGCACTTCTGTAAGGTGAAACCGCCATAATAGTATTGTAAATAGTTCCAAATCACCATTTCTGAAATATTGGGGGGGGGGGGCGACTTTGGATATTTTCAATTAATACCATTAATCAAATGCTAATAGCTCACTTGGGTTACTAATTTGAGTATAGTTGAGTGGTTGAGACATCTTTACCTTCCAAAGGATCGCAGGTTAAGATCTTTACTCATATTTATGATGTAATATTAAAAAAAATTAAGATATCATAGCTCAACTAATGCCTCTCTTATGAGTTTTAAGTTCCAATCTCCAATATCTGCCTCTTATTTGTAAGGTAATATTATAAAACAAAGTTCAGTGCTAACGGTATCATGTCTATTATCTCTCCAATTGACTGCATTAAGTTAATTCAGTTAGCCAACTTGAGCTTTGTTCAAGACCCAGTGACCTTTCCTAAATATTCAAGGTTTCAATTTGTAACTCTACATTTATGTTGTGCTATGTTTTTGGAAAAAGAAAAAGAAAATAATAATAATAATAAGAAGAAGACGACGACGAAGAAGAATAATAATTCGGTCAAATTTTATGTTAGGAATCGTTGTTGAGTAGTTTGGTAAACACAGTAGAAATTATTTTTCAAGCGCAAGTTCAATGCACAAATAAGCAGCTTAGCTTTCAACCAAAAAAAAAAAAAAAGCCCTGTTTAAAAATGATTTTGTGTTTAATTTTTTGTTTCTAAAAAATTATTCTTGATTTTTCAAGATTTCTTAGGTATATTTTTCATCCTCCTTCAAAACACATTTGAATTTTTAGTCAAATTTCAAAACAAAAACAAGTTTTTAAAATTACTTTTTCTAGCTTTCAAATTTAGGCTTAAATTTTAAAAACGTTTTTCTAGAGTAGATAACAAAACAAAAAAATATCTAGGTTAAAGTAGTGTTTCTAAACTTAAGTTTTTAGAAAAAAAAATAAAAAAACGAAGGTGTTATAACACGCCAAAATGGGGCTAAAATACTTTAATTCACAAATAATGAAGATTAATATCATAATACTAACGAAAAGTTGCGATTTAATTAGAGGTGGTTGCTAATCTACAATAATTTAGATAACAGATTAGAAAAAATGAAAATAGTAGCTAAAAGACAAATAGCAAATACAGAAAAAATTATAACGGTATCTTACATAATCAAAGGCAAGTTATCTATTTGTTAAAAATAATATTGGTGTTTAAAAAAAAATAATATATTGGTAAGTACTAAAATTATTAATTTTTAAAAGTTATCGAAAGTTTATAGTTTAAAATGGAATAAACTCGAAAATCTAGATACTAAAATAAAAAATTTTGAAAATCGGGAACTAAAATGGAATGATGTTGAAAATTCAAAGAACAAAATAGAAACAAAATATTCATATACTTACAAATATTTAAGAAAACCTCTTAAACTTCCCTTCAATAATTAACGAAGTGACCAATAGTATGATATTCCTCCTATGTACCTACCCCGCCAGCCCGCCTTGACCATCCATAAGGAAGAGGCTAATATCAGTCCCAACCCATCTCTGAAACAACAATGGAGAGCCTCAATCTCAAAAACTTCTAGAGTTAATAAAAACTGCATATTCAATAAAACAGAAATTGGAACAAAATCGATCAGAAACACAAGAAAAAAACGCAGCTCAAAAAGAGAGAGAGATGGGAGTGTTTGGTTGCAGCAAAGATGGGTACCTGAATGATGCCAAGTTCAGCGAGCCCTTGCCATGGATTGGCATCTATATAGCTGCAGCCTCTTTTGTCTGTCTCTTAGCAATGGCTGTCGATCTTGTCCACAGCGTCCGCCATAGAAAATTATGGTTCCCTTGCAAGTTTTTCACTCTTAACTCCACTTCCCTAACCCTGATAGCTGTGGCCATCAAACTTTCTGTGGATCTCAACACCTCCATGCCTGGCAGAGAGGACCAGCTTGCAAAGCTTAGTAGTGCTGTGTTGATGTGTACTATCATGGGTAATTCTATGCCTTCTCTTGGATCTATGGAGAATCAAGAAATCTTTATGAACATTGTGGCTCTTGGGATTCTGGTTATTACCCTTGTAGTAAACATCTGTATTGAGTTGGGTACTGGAGTGATCTATGTCTTTATGAAGGAGCATGTTTCCATTATAATTTTGATGCTGGTTTTGCTTGCCATCTTGAGTTTTTCTGCTTTGACTGTTCCATCTACTAAAAGCTACCTGGAAATGAGGTACAATCTAAAATATGAATTAGCTTCAAGAGAGTGCGCAGAAAACAAAAAAGCAGGCAAAGCAGCAGTTGAAAGACTTAGAGAGGCTATGATGAAATATTGGATGATGGCTCATACCTGCAGCCCCCAGTTTGTGATCGGTCGGTCTGCTACTTGTACTGCTTCTGGGGCAATCTGTCTTCTCAGCGCTGCAATTTTAGCAGAGGCCACTGTTAGATCTTACTTGATGCAGAGATCATTTAAGTTCTGCAATGGCCAGTCTGATTATAAATGGTCGATCACTTTGATTCTCACAGTACAATGTGCTGCAGTGGGAGTTGGGACTGTTGCCCCAGCATTCAGATGGTTTGCGGCCATAAAATTCAGGTGTCCGAAACTGGGAAAAGGAGGTTTCAAGAAGGAATTCACATTAGAAAACTATTGGATCCGGTATCTGGTTGAAATGAAACAGTGCCCATTATCTATCAGAGTTGAAAACAGAAGTTTCAGAAAGCTTGCTCATAGTGCAAAAAACAAATTTCTGGACGCATGCATTATCCTACAAACAGCCATAGTGTTCATAAGCAAAGTGATTCGACTCATTTCCATTTTCTTTGTCAGGGGAATCTTCTCATTCTGTGACTGCTTCAAAAGTTTGAAAAAAAAGTTGTGTTTTAAAGACGCCATTTCTATCAACAATTCAGGGTCAGAGGTAGATCCTGATTCAAAGCTAGATCTCAGTCGTTTTGTTCTGTATCTTGAAGGTGAAGATGATCTAGTTCACCTCATGGAAGCAAACAGTTGTTATGCCACAAATCAATGGATTCAGAAAGGGCAGAAGAAAAAGCCTAAGAATCTCATTTACCTGTTGGAAGGAACGATCATGACACGAGGTTTCAAGGGAGTGGCAGAGTTTGACAACCTTCAAGTTCCATGTCTAGATTCCAAAGATCCCCAAAATTGCTGGGCACTCCCAGTGGTGACATTAACAACCATAGCAATCTCTCTTCCAAACATGAGCCAGCGTTTAGTCAAACAGTTGGTGAGCGCCGTAAACGAAGGCCTCGAATACATAAGACTCGTCGAAGATCACCTCGACACAAAAGGGGAGTTCATCAACCTGAAGAAAGCAGCCCAAATCGTTTGGCTAGGAATTGATCTCCACCACAAATGGCTGGACATAGAATTGCAAAAAGTCATTGTGAGAGATTGAATTGCAAAAATGTTAAAATGTAAATGTCTAAATTGAAAAAAGTCACAAATATTAATGACTGAAACGTATATTTAGTTTATAAAAAATACATTGTTGAAGGTGATTCTCACCCTACACGTGCCACACATCGATTGGGTGATGAGAGTTACACGTGGCTTTTGTCAATAAACTTGAAGTTTCATTACTTTAGTTTCGTTTCATAGGACCGAGCCAACGTCTTGTGTGGCCGAGCCGACCAAACGTCGTCATAAGAGTCTGTTCCCAACTATTTGAGTGAACTGATCAGCTTCACTTCGGCTCAATCCTATACTCCGATAGATTCCACGACAATACGCCGCGACTCATAGCAACTTTAAAGAGTCATTAAGGCGCTGTCGGGAATATTGTCGGGGGAAGTTGCCTATAAATAGAACCATTCACCCTATTTTCAAGTACGCGAATACTAAATTCTCTCTTAAGTTTAGTTGGATCACCTACTGACTTTAGCATCGGAGTGTTCTATTTTGTAGGTCACCCATCCAACTCATCCCTCGAGCAGTTCTCAATCCGAGTCGAGCTTCGTGGAGTTGGTCATATTTATGATAAAACATAGTTGTAGGGACTAAATCGTTCCGAAGAAATGTCTAGTTAATGTACTTCGTAATGAAATTTTCATTTTTTAACGTTCTTGTTTGTAGGTCTCATAAATTTACATTTATATATGTCACAATTAATATGAGTCCTCCTAATAGATTTATGGTATCGTGACATCCAAATGAATTGTCAAGGTTAATAAAGATTTATTATGATTTTCAATCAAATAATCAAATTCTCTCCTTAGAAAGGTTTCTACATTTGAAAAGAAAATAAAATGTAAATGAGATGTTTGATTCTTTGAATTAATAGTCTATTAATTTTTATGTCCAAAATCTGATTGTCTATGATTTCTCAAGTGACGTTTTTGTTTTGTTTTCTAATTTAGAAAATTATGTTTTCTTTCTAATAAAGAGTTAATATATATGTCTATATATATATATATATATATATATATATATATATATTTTGCAATCCTATCCAAATTTTAAAAACTTAAAAAAAAAATCTAATACTTCAAAATCGTTTTAAAATGTAAAAAAAAAAATTATAATAATAATAAATAAATAATTGAATAAAGAAAACTTATGATATAACCCATGTTTCAGAGCGACACATCGACATTGACACGGAGGTTAGGGATAGAATGTCGTTTTTCCCCAATATCGACGACTCGACATGTCTATATGTCGAGGAAATATCGAGGAAATGTCTTTTTTTTTACTTATAATCTATAAATTGATTTTTTGTTTTAATAAATTGAAAAGATATGCATAGTTTGGTTGGGTGAGATAAGGTTAGAATTGATTTTTTTTTCTAAATAATTTGAAATGGAATTTTTTTTTACCAAAATTTATTTATTAAAATGAAACAAAGTTTGTTTATTAATATGATCAAAACAGCAATTATAACACTACACTGATTTTCTAGTCATAACACTAAAACAAGCTGAAAAATAATTAATCAAAAAATAAACAGAATATAATACTAAACTGATTTTAGTTATAACAGTAAATAACATCCTGTGAGCACTCTTAACAATAACGAACACGCTTTTCTCTTCCAAATCTCGATCTTCTGGAAGAAGATGAGTCTTGTGGAAGAAGACGCAAAAATGTGATTTTTTTTTCCATTTCAATCTACATGTTAAAGAAAATAAATAAAAGCACATTTTTAATTATTTTAAATTATACAATGTACAACAAATATTGAAAATTAGATATAATCTAAGAATTTGAATATTAAAAATCATGTAAAAGTTTGTTTTTTAAAAAATAAATTTGCAACAAGGAAAACTAAGAAATAATTACAAAAAGTTTCCTCTTTTGTTTTTTTTTTTCAAAAAACTAATAAAAACGATAAAAAAAAATTTACTAAACACAATTTAGTTAAACATTCTCGAGCGTCAGGGTTGATAACATTTCTATTCATCTTGTTTGATCTTTTGTTTTTAATTTTTTCAAACAAAATCGTTTGATAATTATCCATATTTTTCCTTTCTCATTTTTAAGAACGGGTTCCAAGCATTATATGAGTTTGAAACCAACACATTTTACAATTTTTTTTTCTTGATTTAGTTTATATGTAGATTTAAAAAGATTAATATATGTCTTAAAATGCATAAAAATTAAAAATAGATATATATCTTATTCTAAAAATTAATTTTCATGTGAAAAGATATTTTTTAATTTAGTATTTTAAAGAGCCAAAAACATATTATAAGAAAACAATTATATTCCTTTTGTCCCAATAAAGAAGAAACAATTATCTAACATAATTTTGTTTCATTTTTTTTTAAATATCTGTGAGTGTCAAATTCAACTTACCTACAATTAACTATTTTCATCGAACAATCATATGAACCTACTATATTTATTTTTTTATCCCTTTAAAAAGAGGAAATGAGAAATATAAAAAAATAATAAGAAATAAAAAATGGAAACATTCCTAAATTGATCATAAAATTTTCGTTTTTAAATTCCAACCTTATTTATCTCAAATTTCACATTTGCAAATAAATGGTGGAAAAACCCAATGAATATATTTCTCTCTCTAAGTTTTAAGGTGACAAGTGAAATTAATTTTGTTGTCTGGTCATGGACATGCCAACCACCTTTATGTTTTGCTTATAAAATAATGGAATTCTTTTTTTTTTCTTCCCTTATATATATTCTCGTAATTRTTCGGACCAACTTAATTACAGACATTTCTATTTAAAAAAAATTACAAGCATTTCGACTAATGTCACGTCACAACCGCCTAACTCTATTACATTTAATTGTCAAATAAATTATATGATATTAAATTCTAGGTAAGATGACCACATAGTACGATAAAATATTTTATAAATACTATTTTGACTCCTACATTTTTAGTTTACTCCGAGTCTTCGATTTTTGTTCATTTTAGAATTTATACTTTCAAAATGTTTGTTTTGGTTATTGTACTTTAAAAATTGACAAATTTGATTCCTATTTGTAAAATTTTTAATACAAATTTTATGTTTAAGAGAAACTATTAAATACAAACTTATGACTGACAAAACCAGCAAAGCTCAAGTGATAATTAGCAAAAAATCAGTAATAATATTTTTATACGTCATATTACAAAAATTTGATATAACTCAATAAGTAAGATATCTATTACTTTCGAAACTAAAAGAATGTGTATTAATAAACCTATTTTGTAGTATCTAATAATCATAATTAAATTAAAAAATTCTCTGCAATTTTACCAATTTTTTTTAGCTTTCTTAAAAAAAAAAAAAATAAAATAAAAAGTTCTAAGAACAAATGAATTGTTTGGTTGGGGAACATATTTATCTTAAGAAGTCAAATTGGAAAATATTGTTACAACTAACCAAGAAACTCAACACCAAAGCCTTC